CTCACAGAGAAAATCGTCCATGCTTTCACACACATGTATAGTACATCACTAGACGAGTTTGACTGGTTCCTCAAGGCTGATGATGACACATATGTTATTGTGGAAAATCTCAAATTTCTTCTCGCTCATCTAAACGCCAGCAAACCTGTCTACGTTGGCGACCACTTCGCGCCCTTCTCACCTAACGGGTACATGGGTGGTGGGGCGGGGTATGCTGTCAGTAGGGAAGCTCTCCGTCGACTGGTGGAGCAGGGTTACAGGGTGCCAGGTAGATGTCGCCACGCTGGAGGAAGTGAAGACATCGAGACCGGGCGATGCATGTACAAGGTTGCGGTGTCTACATATCTTTCGTTAGACAAGTACAACAGATCGACCTTTCATGGTGCAAATCCTGACACATTCCAAGTTGGTGTAGCCAACTTTATCTCCGGGTTTTCAGCCAACAAATACCACTCGGTAAGCTGAGTTTACCTGTTCCTGTTTGGTGAATGGATAATTTGGTGTAACGCTAATATGAACAGTATTACAGTTTTTGCCACGATGTGCATAAAGTGATGTATTCCCTCTGGCTAAAACAAAACACATACCATTATATGGTGTTGACAGACCAACTAGCATGGGCCAGGTTTCATTATTACAGCGTTTCCTGTATCTGTGCATTTGATACAGAGTTGTTTAACTTGGTCTTAGTATCTAGGTCTCAAATGTCAAGCTTTCATTGACGAAACGAAAACCTGTATTTATGAAATAGAACCTCTTGAAAAATCCTTGTATTGATTGCAGTTGCAGACGGTTTATATCAACTAGCATAACCGTGTCTGTTAGTTTCAAGTGACTTGTACCTAACGTTTTACATATATAGATATAGATATATACAATCCTTTTCTCACTGTTTCAGATTCAGGGTATAAACTCTAGTATTGGCTTTTTCTAGATTTCTAGAATAGTTTTTCCTTGTACTTTATAATTACATCAAGGCGAGACTTCTATAGACAATGTTTATATATTTAACGTGTTTTTTATATAAAGCGACTTAGACTAAGCAGATTGGGAGTATGGTACAATGGTCGTGTATCACATATTTCCATGGCCCACTTTCGCTGCTGTAATAGTGCCGCCTGCATAAATCCACAAACACATAATATGTAGTTGAGTTGTTTCAATTTCTGTTCTCGACACAGGGCCCTGAGTGCTGCTCACAGCTGACCATAAGCTTCCACTATGTGAAACCAGAGTTGATGAGAACTCAGGATATGTTCCTCTACCAGATCACTGTGTTCGGTCGGACGGTGAAATACAAGGAGCTCTGGAATCTGTTCCGAGCCGAGGAGTTTCACATACCACAGGAACGTCGGAGGCGCCCTTACCCAGGGGAAACAATAGAGGAGTACTACAAGAATGCTACAGAATGGAGATTGAAGAACACAACTATCTATATTCCAGACAAGACGAAACCAAAGAAAAAAACAGGAGCGTGAGTCTGGAGTTAGGAATTGTGTCTTGCTAATCACATGAGGAACATCCTTATTTTTGTCATTACGAAAACTAAATACAGGCTTGCAATATTTTTTTTATATTTTTTTTATAGACACTGTGTCATCTGTCAGACTTCGTTATGTGAGGAACATTGTTTTGGAACTGAAACATCCTACAGGGACATGGAAGGAGACATTGAAAGAATACGGGGAATATACTATTGAGCTGTGAAATCTTTATTATACACATCTGGGAAATTTCAAAGCACCACACCTGTAGTTCATACATACTACATGGGACTTTGGAAGGATATACATAAACTTATGACAGTGGTCTCCTAACAATCAATGTGTAACATTGTGATACACTGGATAAGAAACACCTAGGTCTATCCTAGATGGACGCAAGTTATAGAAAGCATATGAGTTACAGAAGCAGATGAGAGAAGTGAAACATACTCAAAGAAGTATTTACTTGGAACAAGTATAACCCATTTAATCATCAATCAATTTCGTTTTCTGTATTTCACTATGAGTATGTCACAGTAATACGATTTTTCCAAACCAATACATTAAAAAAAACATATGTAATGGGAAGTGCTTAACTTTTGCCAGGTTTATATATGTATGCATACTTGTAGATTATAATAAATTACACAACAAATATAACTACATCTGAGTGTTTTATATTTTATGCAACTTTATACCTAAAATTATTGATTTTGAGTTACGTTTTTGAATGTTGATCAAATATTTCTCTAGATTGCAATGGTCACTGAGCGTATTGAAGGCTTTCCCCTGAGCAATACCAGGATACGCATGTGGTTGGATGGACTCAAGGGTTGTTTGGCCACGTAAATGGTGAAACAAAAAATGATGAGTTGTTTAATGGCACAACAATAAATGCGTTGTTCGCTAATAGTTTTCTGTGGAGCGAAACAGAGCAGCTTCTTGTTCTAATGGCAATGCCAATGTGAATCGTCAAACAGATGACATTTAAAGGAAAAGGGGCACAACTTCGCAATACTGTACTGAAGTACACATATAATCTCAGTATTTTAGTATGGATTCTGACACAAATATCAAAGCCAAATACCACGAGAACGTCGGAAGCGCCCTTACCCAGGGGAGACAATAGAGGAGTATTACAAGAATGCTACAGAGTGGAGACTGAAGAACACAACTATCTATATTCCAGACAAGACGAAATCAAAGAAAAAAACAGGAGCGTGAGTCTGGAGTCAGGAATAGTGTCTTGCTAATCACATGAGGAACATCCTTATTTTTGTCATTACGAAAACTAAATACAGGCTTGCAATATTTTTGTTTTATATTTTTTTTATAAACGCTGTGTCATCAGTCAGACTTTGTTATGTGAGGAACATTGTTTTGGAACTGAAACATCCTACAGGGACATGGAAGGAGACATTGAAAGAATACGGGGAATATACTAATGAACTAGGGAATCTTTATTAATCACACCTGGGAAATTTCCAAGCACCACACCTGTAGTTCATACATACATGTACTACATGTGACTTTGGGGGGGTATAAATAAACTTATGACAGTGGTCCCCTAACAATCAATGTGTAACATTGTGATACACTGGATAAGAAACACCCAGGTATATCTTAGATGGACGCAAGCTATAGAAAGCATATGAGTTACAGAAGCAGATGAGAGAAGTGAAACATACTCAAATAAGTATTTACTTGAAACAAGTATAACCCATTTAATCATTAATCGATTTCGTTTTCTGTATTCCACTATGAGTATGTCACAGTCATACCATTTTTCCAAACCTATACATTAAAAAAAATATGTAATGGGAAGTGCTTAACTTTTGCCAGGTTTATATATGTATGCATACCTTGTAGATGATAATAAACTACACTACAACAAATATAACTACATCTGAGTGTTTTATCTTTTATGCAACTTTATACCTAAAATTATTGATTTTGAGTTACGTTTTGGAATGTTGATCAAATATTTCACCGAGCGTATTGAAGGCTTTCCCCTGAGCAATACCAGGATACGCATGTGGTTGGATAGACTCAAGGGTTGTTTGGCCATGTAAATGGTTAAACAAAAAATGATAAGTTGTTTAATGACACAACAATAAATGTATCGTTCACTAATAGTTTTCTGTGGAGCGAAACAGAGCAGCTTGTTGCCCCAATGGCAATGCTAATGTGAATCGTCAAACATATGACATCAAAAGGAAAAGGGGCATAACTTCGCAATACTGTACTGAAGTACACGTATAATCTCAGTATTTTGTAATGGATTCCGACACAAATATCAAAGCTAGAGCTATTTACTTGAAGGTTTGGAAATCAGAAGATGTTAACCACATCCCTACTCCAAACAAGAAGAACCTGTTCCTGTATCATGTGGAAATATAAAACGTTAATGCCCGGGATAAAACACCTTCCAAAACAGGCGTTTACAGAAGCAGGGGAAACAAATGAAAGGATACCAAAATGTCCATGGAACAAATATGAACCATTTCAATGGATAATCAGTTTCGGGTTTTTTCTATTTCAATAAGAGTATCCAAAAGTGATATTATTTTCGAAAATGTTTTTTTCAGGAGCATATATATGTTTTGTTTATTTGTTTGTTGTTTCAAAGCCACACTCAGCAATATTCCAGATATGACAACAGTTTGTTTATAATCGAGTCTGGACCAGATAATCCAGTGATTGATATCATGAGCATCGGTCCACACAATTCGGATACAATGACATGCATCAACCAAGTCAGCCAACCTAACCTTCTGATCCCGTAAGTCGCCTCATATGACAAACATAGTCACCTTTTACGGCAAGCATGGGTTGTTGAAGATCTATTCTACCCCGGATCTTTATTATGTGCATCTATATAGCATGTACATGATAATATATTGGACGATTACAAATACAACTGCATCTAACTGTTCTATTTTCCGTCCAGTTCATAACGTTTTGGAATGTTGATGAAATATTTCTGTATATGGCACCGAGCAACATGTCTGATGCAATGGCTTCATTTAATCTGACAGGAGGCAAGGTTGGTGCAGTGCAGAGTTGTTCCCCTTAGGTATGCAAGGATCCGTTTGTCGTTGAATAGATGTCACGGATGTTTGGCCACGAATGTTAAAACAAAACAAACGATATTGTTTTATTGCACATCAACATATGCACCGTGATGAGTGTTTTCTGTTAACTATGAGCAAATCAGTACAGCTTACTGTAAAGGCTGTAACACATATTTCAATGTTTATGTGAATCGACACACATATAATATTCAAATAAAAAAGAGGCATCACGCCGTAATACTGTTCTGACGTTCACAATGATACAACGCCACTACTTACAAGTAATTACATCAGCTTTATGAAAACAATGCAATTCGACAATGGAGCGACTTGAAAGGACACGACTTTCAAAGCCTTGGCTAACAAGGAATAGATATAAGTTGTATACATTTCTTGATAAATGACCCACATCGTTTATCGTAAATACTGGAATCACGAGTCATCAGATTTTGAACCAATATTAATTCAGAGTACTTTATACATCCTTGTCACAAATTATGAAAATGTTTAAACGAAAACAATTCATTGGTCTGTTTCATGACTGTTTTGTGTCACTACAACTCTCGTCCTGATCATTACAACAGGTTAAGTATTGCACCATTGCCACTCAGATAGACACGTTCCCCATCATTGTCCCTTCACTGCTTTTCTTCTCTGTACGGAGACTGTTGCCGACATCGGATGGAGGGCTGGGCTTAGCTGCAGTAGTCAGCACCTCTTCATACGACGGCGGCATTGGAGGAGCGGTCTGTCCCACTGCTGCAACATACAACACAAACTTAAATATACTTATTGATCCCTGATGCCAAGACGCGAACACACGGCCACATCTCTCAAATTCATGTACCGAGAACGTGCCAGTGTTTTAAAACCTCCTGGATACACTTCATTGACTGGTCATGTTCCTAAGTGATATTTTGAATTGTCAAAATGTCAAACATGGAACATTCAACAACTTACGCAAATCGTAAAACAGTTAATGTTAATTGATATTATAAAATCGTACATGAACACTGTTATAGAGTTACACTTTCTACAGCATTGTTTCATGCACAATCGCAAAATGGCGCTGCCTCGCGGTTATTAGACAATGTAGAGATTATTGTAATGATGATGAGGGTGCTGGTGTTTCATAATGACAAAAAAATACAAATTAGTTCAAATATTTTATACTGATATCGCTTGGTTGCTGTTTAGTTTATTTGAGTGCGTTGTAAGGTTATAAACAAGCATGGACATTGATTTTTACCAAACAGTTCACTTACCATTAGCGTCCGAGAGATTGGGGTAGACAGCCTGGTTCGGATAGCCTGATCCTTGGGGATACCCCGCAGGCACCCCAGCATAGCCTTGAGGCGGGTAGGATGTCATGTTCTGGTAGCCATAAGGAGGTGGCATCATGCCACCATTGGGCGGGGCTGCACCAGGGGACGGCGCTGCACCAGGGGGCGGGGCTGTTCCACTAGCAGGCATTGTCATCACACTTCCGGGTGCCGTATTGGGCACTGTGACAACAGTCTGCACTGATCGAGTGACTAAGACAGGACCGACTTCAGACGATGGTTGGGTAGTTTTCTCGCTGAGACGGCGTTCAGATAAATACTTGTTATGATCCTTCAACAAACTTTGCAGTCGACAGAAGTCCACCAACCACCCAAAGCCCAACATTCCAAGTGTAAAGAAATACAGTGCGCCCCATCCTAGCCTGTTCAGGTAGAAATGGTGGAGACCCAGACACCCGAAGGGGAACCACAGTATATAGACATCATCCAAGTGTTTCCACTCCTCGTCTTCCTCCTTGGCTTTGATAGCGTTTGCGCGTTTGACGAGGATGGGGATGCGGAACCAGTCGTAAATCCAGCCCACTCCCATCAGGCCGATGGTAGAGGTGTACAATATCCCCCATATGGGCCTGTTTAGGTAGTAGTGGTGAAAGCCGAGGACGCCTAAGGGGGATGCGGCGAGGCTGTAGGCCATGCATATGGTCTTTCCGGGATCTGGCTCGCGTGGACACTGGTTGGCTGCCTTCACGATGGAGGGGATGCGGAACAGATCTACCAGGAAGCCAATGCCACAGAGACCGAAGGTGAGGAGATATAGAATACCCTGGCCCGGCTTCCCCAGGTAGAACAAATGGAAGCCTGCAAAAGAGAGACGTTTTTTTAATGACTGGCCATTTGTGTTATTTACATTTTGCCATTAAAAATAGTGTTTTAAAGAAATACATTGTATATATGGATGTCCTAATAATAACAACAGCAGCAACAACAATAACAATAACAATACTAATATGTAAGTAGAACAGATAGAAATCCTGATAAAAGAGAGACATTTGTTAAGGATGGATTATTTATATTTTGATTTCTCTTTTAAATGTACAAGAATAGTGTCGTCAGATTCCATATGTAAATATGTAACATATAGAGGTTAACGATCGTATTGAATTGCATACATCCATAATAATTATTACTATTTCATAGCTTTAGTGTTATACAGGTTATTCTAAAAAGGGCCCAAAATAGCACTGATTGTAAAACTTGAATGTAATGCGAGGCGTTTAAGGGGCCTCAATTCACTGTGCAGACTTGGGTCCCTTGGGCACACCAGAAACCTATGATTGTGGGTTCGAATCCCGGTTTGCCCCCACTATGTTTCTAGGTTCGTCATCACCATACCAGTGCGCATGGGTTTCACCAAGGTTGAAAAAAATTACATTTGTAATACGCCAATTTCCATGGATGCTTATACCGCTACAGAGTCAATACATCAGGCGTGATATAATGAACACAAGTCATGTTAGACCGTAGTATTTATGGAACACGTGTGTTTTCGATCAAGATGGAAGGGTGCATGACAGTTTCATTTAGACCCGTGAAGATTCCAGGGTGAAATAGGTCTTCATCAACCCATGCTTGCCATCTATATCTATATAGGTAACTATGCTTGTTGTAAAAGGCGACTAACGTGATCAGGTGGTCAGGCTTGCTAAATTGGTTGATGCATGTCATCAATCCGATTTGCGTGGATCAATGCTCATGATATTAATCAGTGGATTGTCTGGTCCTGACTCGATTAGTTTTCAGACCGCCATCATATGGCTGGAATATTGCTGAGTGCGGCGTTGAACAACAGACCAACCAAATCTGGTGTAGATGGTCCTGTAGGGTAGCAGCTGAACTGTTCTCTAGCCAAATGATTTCAATCCAGTTGCAAGGAGTTTAATAATCAATAACCTTGAAGGTGTATATGGATCGACCGGTATTGCATGCTTAAAGTAAGTACATTTGTATTACGCCAATTTCCATGGATGCCTATATCGCTACAGAGTCCATAAAACAGTCATGATATAATGAACACAAGTCATGTTGTAGTATATATGGAACACGTGTGTTTTCGATCAAGATGGAAGGGTGGTTGACAGTTTCAGTTCTGATGCAGATGGTCCTATCGGGTAGCGGCCTAAAAGCGGAAAAGCTTTTTGTCAATGATCTTTAAGGTGTATATGGATCGACAAGGGTTGCATGCGTGGATCGACAAGTGTTGCATGCGTAAAGCAGGGGTAACTGAGAGAGATGATTTTGTACTCTAATCTCGCCTGAAGTGGCAGCCAGTGCAGTTGGTGCATCGTGTGAGTATTTGCCAGTTCGGGATACAATGCAACGCAGTAGTAGAATTGTTTCATACAACAATCAATATCAAGCGATTTATAGGAGGATGGTTGCAGGACCTTTTATAAGAACAAACAACAGAAATGTACCTGTATACTGACATTACCACGAGAGGTGCATAAAATACGAGAAGGACGTTTGTGCGCAGTCAACACTTATGTGAACCACGCGGATGATGCCTCGAATGTCGTTTCTATGTCTGTCTACAACCTCAATCTAAATATATCTGTAAGTTGTCAAATTGGAACAAAACAAAGTCTCAGCGTCACACATGTTATTAAGTTCAAATGTGCATGAACTGGAAATATTCTTTCAACGGATTATTTCCCAAAGTGAATTAGGAGCGTTACTCAAACTATGAACTTCTACCCCGTGAAGACCCGGGTCTTCAGCAACCCATGTCTGCTGTAAGAGGCCATTATACTAGTCATAAAATGCGATTAATGTGATCGGCTGGTCAGACTCGCTGACCTGCCTGATGCATGTCATCGTTTCCGAATTGCGTGGATCGATGCTCATGACATCAACCACTGGATTGTCTTGTCCTGACTCCTGATTATTAGCAGACCGCCGTCGTCTAGCTGGAATATTGTTGAGTGTTGCGCTAACCAAGAATCAAGCAACATTAAACTCATGGACAGGACAGAAACAATTTCATTGGAGTAGTGAGTGAGTGAGTGAGTTGGTATTCAAGTTATATCAAGGCGTGTCAGCTTTTTGTGGGAGAAAAGCCCAAAGTGATGCAGGTCTCAGACGTTTACCACTTCAGTGAAACCGATGAGCACGGCATGGTGCTGACAAATCTAGACACATAATTAGGGCGAACCGGGATTCGAACCCACAATCATACACAGCGATTCGCGGCGCCTTAGATGACTGGGACACCCAAGCACCCTTCTGCTGTAGTGCCGACTATTTGTACGATGACATTCCCCAAATCACATTGTCCCTAAACTCAGACAGATCCATTGTTCCTTATGGTCTAAATGACCACAGTTACTCTACACTGGCATGCGTGTGATTTCAGGCACGTTAACGATCATAATGCTGGGGAGGAGAAAGTATACGCCCACGTTTGATGTTGGCTCTGAATGAACTTAACCAGAAATAGATATACCATGGAGGTGTATTTGTATCATAGCTGTGTATGGACCTTAAGTTTGCAGTGTTTCAGCAACTGAGTTCAGTAATGTTTACAATTGTTGGTCACTATCCAGTATTCAAGTATTCATTTGCCCGGCAGTTTGTGGACAAGAGTTTAACCAAATGGCTGGCTAGCGTTATGCTATGCTGTTCTGTGAACATGCTCAGAGTTTACATTTTGGTGTTAAATATAACATATCAGCAAGTGTGTACATATCGTTCATGTATTAAGATACAAATTCACGTTCGCAAGACGACTGCAGCGCTACGGCTATCGACTGCTTGCGTTACACGTGTGAGGGACCATAGTCTTAGTGCTGAGGTATAGGAACATCACGTGTCTACATGGCATGTCAGGAAATTAATCTTACCAAAAAGTCCCATAGGAAACCAAAGAACATAGGCGTCGCACAGGGTCTTGTCAGGCACGTGATGGGGGTCTTCACTCCTCCTATTGGCCTCCGTCACCAGGCACGGCAGCCGGAACAGATCCACCACATACCCCACCCCCAACAACCCCACCGTGAAGAAGTACACAAGACCGAACCCAGGCCTCCGTAGGTAGAAGTGATGCGCTCCCAGCAAGCCTAACACTAGTGCAAGGATGTATGCTTCCACAACTGATTTCTTCGGTCTGTTAACAACAAATGGGTGTGCCGCCTGTGCCGGGTCTGACTGGACTTGTCCTTCCATGTTTCAAAACCCAATTAATATACAGATAGGGATATACTCCTCATTTCAAACAGTTTTTTTATGAATATTATTGGTCCGAATGTGGTCCTCCACCTCTCATGCCTGTCCACCTTCTCCAGAGTCATATACCAACAGTGCCTGACATCGTTACCATAAGAGCACAGTCTCACCATCTCCGGGCCGTCGCTACATCCCTCATGAAACACTGGGTTCATCTCGCGCTGGTCTAGCTGTCGCTGAGTAAACGGCGCGTGATCAATCAATGCTGTAATCCCCGCGCGGCTGTGATGCCGGGATAAATTTAGCTGTGAGGAAGTGTAGTTTTCCGTACAGTGTTGATTAGATCTACAGTATTTCCTCATAAGCATCGGATGTTTTACAAACGCTGGTCTGGACTATGAGTGAAACGGGTTTCAATGCGAGAGGTGTTAGGTACAATGAATTCATATCATGTGGAGAGAGTTGGGGATCGGGCGTTTACCAAGTAGCCCCATGAAATACGGCCTACAACGATCTGATAACGGAACGTTCCATCTACATCAACTATATGCTGATATTCTCATCTCGCACAAAACACAAATCACATTCCTTAACTGCCCATTATCCTATATGAAATGTACAAAGTAAAGTGGCTCCATGTGTCTCTCGTCAGCATCAAACTGTGTACAAGAATTCTTAGACTAACATTTAGTCTGTGAAACTTCATGTTACACAATATCCTTCTTGAATCTAAAAATAAAATAAAAAATCCCTATGCGCTGATTTTAGAATAGAGCTAATGAGCCGGCTAGACTTGCTTTTGTATGCGTTTCTAGATTTATTTGTTTTCATAGAATAAATATATTCCACAGTCATGGTGCAGGACAATTCTGGCCACACAGTTTTGCCTCCCTCGGTGTTTGGATGTGAATGTAGGTCAGTGTTTCTATCAGCGATTGAGATGTGTTAATTGCGAGGTAGTTCAGAAAGGGACACCAAACCAACGGAAAGACGATTCTACAAACGTTTTGAAATGTCATTTTGTAATTATGTTTGGTTGGATGATGAAAACATTTTCCGATGCATATATACAATGATGTACTGTTCCACTCAAGCATCCGCTTATTATCGGCGTTATTTATAGCAAGGAGTTTCCCGAATCTGCAAATACGCAGTAGCAGTGAAATGTTTCCGACATTGAGGAACCTAGCGATGAAAACCGAGTTTTAGATACAAAGTTCTGACATGAACAAGTCTATCAGTGTGCGAGCTTAGCCTCAATTTTGTAATTGATATCTTTTCCCGTAAAAACCAAGCCTCGTTCTCAAGTGCGACCTACAAACAGTAAATACAATTTGCTAGCAGATGACATATTCACTCTATAGTCTCTGTCAACTGGAGTTTTTAAACAGAGGTTTCTACTGAAATAACTTTTTTGTACTTTTATTAGCTTTCCATGTTACAAAATATATTCACTGGATATTAATGCTTTTCACCTGGATAATAAGGTTTATTCATTTCATGATGAGGATCATCTTTTTTTAAATTGTCCCAACTGTATGCATACCTGACAAGGACGACATTGGCTACCATTATGTTACGATGTCTTACATTTTTCTCAGGAGGAATGCCATTATTTTTTCTTTTGTTTCTATTTTTTCTGACTTGTTGGATGGCATAAATGCACATATATTCACAAGATGCAAAATTCTACTAGCGTTTAAACTTCTATATAATATTAATGCATACACAAGCCTTATTGGTATAAATGTACTCTTGATATTTTCCACTTGAAAATTCATTAGTTATAGAGGTGCCAGAATTCCAATATGTTCATACCTTTCTTGACAAATCTCCAGTGGTGTCACTTGGAAGTCGCATCATGATAAATAGTTAGTAAGAGACTGGTATTCCAAGTGAGTTCCAAGAAAATAACAGTTGAAACACACAATTTAGCCATGACCGAGCATAAAAATGCAATAGCCAAGGTATAATCCAAAAGTAATCGTCCACCACAACAGTAAAAGAAGTATACTGCTACAGCAGACGATAGGTTTGAGCCAATCATTTTACTGATAGAGGTCACGTGACTAAAATCTTGACAACTTCCGGTGGTGTGAAGGGTTACTTTCCCTAATTAAAACTAACAAACCAATACATATTTGAGATTTAAGTTCTGATTTATTTAAGCGCAAATGTCTGTTCAGTGTGATAACACTGACAAACTATGTCCAGACAGCTTAAGACAGAAAGAACCAAATGTCAAACACCACAACCTGTAAACCATCAGTTTAGACCCCTGACACACAAATTAGTCCCTCAATGACATATCAGTCAACTCAAATTTAAACAAACGGTGTTAAACTGCCCTAAAGTAACATATCTGTCACTAGAATGTGATGCTATCAGTAAGATGCCAGATTTATTTATGTTTCTGGCCGCTCTGTGTGGGACTTCTTGGTCACTTCGAGGGGGAAACTGGGGACTGTCTTTTATCCAATTAAAAACATGTTTACATTTGTAGCTCCTCCTGTTTTAAGTTGGATATAGTAAGCTTAGTGATCAGTGATTGCAGGAAACATAGGATTTGGCCCCTCCTCCCTTTAAGATAGATGGAACCCATATTTTTGTGAATGACTTCTACCCTGTGAGAGAATATTTTGAGGTCACGTGACTTCAATAAACATGTTCTCACATCCTCTACAGTGCATGGATTGGTTATATTTAGGTATTATTTTGGTAAATTGACATATGTGGAAATGGGAAATATATGAAAACATTACATGTACATATAGGATTTGTAATAAAAGGTTTATATGAGGTAGGTGTAGAGCCCAGGATTTTTCACTTCCTGTGACAGGGGCTGTGACGTCACTATGGGGCCTTTAGCATTGAATCTATTTATAACCTGTGTGAAAGTGAGGCTTGGTTTTCATCTATAAGCGGTAACATAGCCTGAGCTCGCACACTGTATAACAGCTGCCGTAGATTTCCAATGTAAAAGACGCATTATGGCTGAAATAATGCGGTTAAATTTTAACTCACTCACTCCTAAGTAAAAACTAGACATATAAATTCAAAATAAATATGACATTAATACAACCCATTTGCTAATGAGCTGAAGCTTAAAGTAAATCGTATGACATGGCAGCATTTTCTTGTACAACAAAAAGTGGAAAATGCATGGAAACGGCCGACAAAAAAGGCAGATGCACACAATCAAATAATATAATGGCATGTTTTTTTACACTTAATTATGACACAACCACACGATTCCACTCAGTGAAAATTTAGATACATGTGGAAGCGGCAACTTTTTTAGTTTTCCCTCTAAATTTTCATCATGAACCTACATTGTTTCAAAACGATCAACATTTCATTCATTAATACGCGCCTAAGTTAAATGTAAAGGCGTAAGTTATTTGTCCATTGTCACTCTGGTATTGTGACGTGATAGTTCTCTAAATGTTACGAGATCACGTAACTATATGTTACTACTCCATGTCCATTATTCAGTTATAGTCTGATGAGACTCGTACGAGGTACGAGTTGAAAGCACTAGCCAATTAAAACTGTGTTCAATCTTACTCCCCTTATTTAATTATTACTATACATTGTTCTGCAGATAAACCCAAGCAACCTTTCCCTCGAACATCAAACTGTAGATCCCTTACAACAAAAACAAAATTCACAGTTGTGATTTATTTAAAACAAAACGTGTATGCAACAGCAATACTATATGATATGACGTGTATGCCGTCCACTAAGTGTATCGGCGTAGAGAATGTGAAAAACGTCCTGTTGTACATCATAACCCTCTCTGATTCACATGAACCATTAACACCACACATAGCATTCACTCTGTTATCCATACTCTCAGGGCACGAGCATACTGTGGGATAATATTAAGACAAACCTACATGTTCATTATTTATTTACAAAACATATATTTCAGCAAAACAAAATGAAAACAATTATGAGAGAGATGTCATGCATGACGTCATTATGACGTTTCGAAATATGGCGCACCATTGATGAGTGGTGACGTCCGCTTGATGAAAACAATGAGTTCGTCAATGGAGGGACAATGAAAGGACCCGCCTCTCAAAGCCTTGTCTGACAAGGCAAACATAGAAGTTGTGTACAGTTCTTGATAAATAACTGGTTTAACACCCATATCATGTATTGTACATACAGATCTTATGATGCATCAGGTTTAGAACCAAGACACCAATAATATTAATTAACAGCCCTTTATACATCGTTGATACAAATAACCAAATTGTGTGTCATCCAAGACAATGATTCATTGGTCCGTTGTTTCACGACAGTTTTGTTCCCATACACTGCACCACTGCCACTCAGATTGATACATACACGTTGTGCACAGTTCTTGATAAACAACTGGTTTAACACCCATATCATGTATTGTAAATACAGGAAAGACAATTCATCGGAGTTTGAACCAAAATCAAATAATAATAATTCATAACCTTAAACATCCTTGACACAAATCACCAAAATGTTTGTTATCCAAGTGAGTGAGTGAGTTTGGTTTTACGGCACTTTTAGCAATATTTCAGCAATATCACGGCGGGGGACACCAGAAACGGGCTTCATATATTGTACCCACGTCGGGAATCTAACCCGGGTCATTGGCGTGATGAGCGAATGCTTTAACCACTAGGCTACCCGACCGCCCCTTGTTATCCAAGACTATGATTCATTGGTCTGTTGATCCATGACTGTTTTGTTCAAATATAACTCTCGCGTTCATCATGACAACTTGTTGGGTAGGTTCAGTATTCCAGGTATTGGCACTCAGATTGAAACGTTCTTCTCACTTCTTCTCTGTACGGAGATTGTTGCTGACATCGGGTGGTGGGCCTCGCTTAGCTGTAGTAGTCAGCGACTCCTCATACGACGGCGGCATTGGAGGAGCGGTCTGTCCCGCTGCTGCAACAAACAACACTCAAGTACATGGACTTATTTATCCTTCATGCCAAGACACGAACACACTGTTACATCTCTCTGATCCATGTATTTAGAAGGTTCCAGTGATTTAAAACCTCCTGGATACCTTTCACGTTGTGTTTTCATTGTTACACTGTCAAGCATGGAATATTCTACAACTGAGGCAAATCGTAAAACATTTAATGTTTACTGACAATGTAAAAATAAATGTTTCGGAAATATACTACAGTGACCTCCTGACTAATCCTTGTCGGAAACGTCACGATCCACAATATACATATATATATATTCGTTTTAGACGCTGATCCACCTTAGCTGCAGCATAATGTAACATGAACAATGTAAAAGTGTTTAAATTTGCTACAGCAACTTGTTAGTTCATAGTTCACCTACCATTAGCGTCCGACAGATCGGGATAGAAACCCTGGTTCGGGTAGCCTGCTCCTTGTGGATACCCCGCAGACACTCCAGCATAGCCTTGAGGTGGATAGGATGTGATGTTCTGGTAGCTGTAGGGGGGTGGCATCATGCCACCAGGGGGCGGCGCTGCACCAGGATTTGCGGCTGCACCAGGGGGCCAGGCTGTTCCACCAGCAGGCAACGTCATCACACTTCCAGGCGCCATGTTAGATACTGTGACAAAAGTCTGCCCTGTGGAGGTGACGGAGACGTGACCATTAGTAATTTTGGCGATGAGACGTCGTTCAGATAAATGCTTGTTGTGATCCTTCACCAAACACGGCAGTCGACAGAAGTCCACCAACCACCCAACGCCCAACACTCCAAACGTAAAGAAGTACAAGGCGCCCCATCCTGGTCTGTTCAGGTAGAAATGGTGGAGACCCAGCCACCCGAAGGGAAACCACAGTATATAGACATCATCCAGGTGTTTCCATTCCTTGTCTTCTTCCATCGCTTGGATAGCGTTTGCGCGTTTGACGAGGACGGGGATGCGGAACCAGTCATACACCCAACCCACTCCCATCAGGCCGAAGGTGAAGGTGTACAGTAACCCCCATACAGGCCTGTCCAGGTTGTAGTGATGAAGGCCAAGGATACCTAAGGGGGATGCGCCGAGGATGTAGGCTGTGCAGGTGCTCTTGCAGGGTTCTGGTTCCCGAGGACACTGGTTGGCTGCCTTCACGAGGGAGGGGATGCGGAACATATCTACCAGGAAGCCAATGCCACAGAGACCGAAGGTGAGGAGAAATAGAACACCCTGGCCCGGCTTGCCCAGGTAAAACAAATGGAAGCCTGCAAAAGAGAGACGTTTCTTAAGGACCGGCCATTTATGGTACTTACAATCACAAATACTGTTTTTAAACAATGGCATTGTCGTCTGGATGTCCTGATAATAATAACAGCAGCAATAATAACAATAACATGTAGTGCGTTAGTTTCATTTCAGCAAGTGATTATTTGTGTCCGAACATTTGTATTACCACAGACAAAAAGAAATTGGATGGATTTCAATTGACTTATGTGGAAAGAATGGGGTACTGCAGAAATGTGGTAAGCAGATTGAAAAAAAAACAGAAAAAAAACACCCACCCGAGAGACTGGAGCAGAAACACACGAACATGACAAGCACGTGCAACATCTCTTGTTTGGCCATAAAAACGTTGGGTTTTCATTTGCATGTAATCACAATATTTCAGCAAGTGAACAGCAATATATCAAATATATGTCGAAACTTTTGCGTTTAATTTTTGTAGAGTATATATTGACATACATGTCATCTGATGTATTTACAGAGGATCCTCTGACTTACAAAAGTCATAAATGCACAAACACTGTATTCTCTTCAGTATCACATTGTTATGCTAGTTTTGAAAATTTAGAGTGAATGATCTTATTAAATATGCATTCAATACCATTTCAGAGCTTCAGTGCTTTACAGCTATTATAAAAAAAGTGCCCAAAATAGCACACACAGTAAATATCGGTTGAATGTGAGCAGCTCAGATAGTTGGTTGTTTTTTTGTTTAACGCCCCACTTAGCAATAATCCGGCTATATGACGGCAGTCTGTAAAAAAATCGAGTCTGGACCAGACAATCCAGTGATTGACATCATGAACATCAATCAACGCAATTGGGATCGATGACATGTTTCAACCAAGTCAGCGAGCCTGACCAGGCAGCTTCAAGAAGGAACATCGACAACTGACCATCAACAGCTGTACATAGTTGTCATTCGGTTTGATTGATAAGGTTGTTGGTTGGTTTGTTGTTTAACGCCGCAATCAGCAATATTCCAGCTATATGAAGGCAGTCTGTAAATAATCGAGTCTGGACCAGACAATCCAGTGATCTACATCAGGAACATGGTAATGGGTACTGATTTCAATAACACAGGGGGAGGGGGTTAAATCGTCATAGGCGCCTCAATTCGCCGTGCAGAGTTGCGTCCCTTGGGCACGCTAGGAACCTATGATCATGGATTGGAATTCCGGATCGCCACGATCATGTTTGTCAGATCCATACCCGTGGTCTTGGGTTTTATCGAAGTGGTAAACGCCTGAGACATGAACCACTTCGGGCTTTCCTCCCACATTAGGCTGAAACTGAGTGATATATATGGAATACTGTTATAAGGAGCGTTAAACTCAACTCACTCACTCAATAACCTGGTGACATCTTGTCACCATCAATCCTATTTAGTATCGCCTTCGCTTGGGCACTGGGGACATTTTTATATCAACTCATGATTGTTTTCAACCCAAAGATTTATAAGTAGTTATTACCATGTCACTTGTCTGTGACACGGTGAGGAAACCGTGTTATCTTGGAAAGCCTACTTAAGCTACCCTGGGCTACGTGAGTCCACATCAAGCGCCGTCACCAGATATGTATGTTGCAGTCCACTACGTGCCGTTGCCAGGAGGAACCGAAACACACAGTAGTAGCTTCATAGGTTATCCTTATCAGGTGATATATAGGCGGAACCGAAACACACAGTAGTAGCTTCATAGGTTATCCTTATCAGGTGATATGTAGGAGAGCCGTTGCAGGATGCTTTACAACATGTTTGTTTGTTGTTTTACACCGCACTCAGCAATAGGGCACAATTGGGATCGATGACATGCATCAAGCAAGTCAGCGAGCCTGTCCACCATATCCCGGTAGTCGCTTTTTACGACAAACATAGTCGCCTTTTAGGGGAAATATGGGTTGCTGAAGACCTATTCTACCCCGGATCTATGCTTGTCGTAAAAGGCGACTCACGGGATCGGGTGGTGCAGGTCATCAATCCCAATCGCGTGGGTCGATGCTCATGATGTCAATCACAGGATTGTCTGGTCCAGACTCGATTATTTACAGACCGCCGTCATATTGCTGGAATATTGCTGAGTGCAGCGTAAAACAACAAACAAAGAAACAAAACAAACAGTTCGCCTGCGAAAAGATGAATCTTACCAAGAAGTCCCATAGGAAACCAAAGAACATAGGCGTCGCACAGGGTCTTGTCAGGCCCTTAATGGGGGTCTTCACTCCTCCTGTTGTCCTCCTTCACCAGGCACGGCAGCCGGAACAGATCCACCTCCCAGCAAGCCCAACACTAGTGCAAGGATGTATGCTTCCACCAGTGATTTCTTCGATCTATGATCGACAAACTGGTGTGGCGGGTATCTCGGTTGTGCCGGGTCCTGACCTTTCATGATTCAAACCAAATGGGATATACTCCTTTCAAAGTTTTCCTGATGTATATCACTTGTTCCGAAACCGTTCCTCCACTTGTCAATCTTGTCACCTTGCGTGGGTTCGGTCACAACACCAAATGTGCCTACCTGTCGTTCGCGGTGTTATAAGTCCGTCATCGTTATCAGAAGACTACAGTCAGACCCTCCCTCTGTCGTCGCTATATCCTTCCTAGGCTTCAGGAAAAACACACACACGGTTCATCTTGCGCTGGTCGAACTGTCACAGAGTAAACGCCGCGTAATCGGTCACAGGACCCTGAGTGATTGTTTACATTTTGTCATCTACCCTACAGATCAGCCCTGGGCAGAGTCAATGCTGTCAGCCCCGCGCGGCTGTGACTCTGGGATATATTTAGCTACGAGGAAGAGCTGAACACCACACCGTGTTTTCGCCTGTACAGTATTTCCCCCTTTAAGCAATGGGTATTTCATAAACGCCGGCCGTTAGTAAGTATCCGCTCTGGGTGATATGGGTTTCAATGCTGGGGGTATGTTTGCTGTTTAACGCCGCACTCGGCAATGTTCCAGGTATATGACGGCGGTCTATAAACAATCGAAACTGGACCAGACAACCCAATGATTGACATCATGTTTCTTTAACCCCACATTCAGCAATATTCCAGCTATATGACGGCGGTCTATAAATAATCAGGACATTTCAGTGATCGATATGATTGATTGATAAGGAGTTTTTCAGGAACATGGTTTCAATAACACAGGGGGAGGGGGTTCAAACGTCTAAGGTGCATCAATTCGCCGTACAGAAGTGGGCCCCTTGGGCACGCCAGGAACAACCCAGTGATTGACATCATGTTTGTTTGTTGTTTAACGCCGCAATCAGCAATATTCCATCTATATGACGGCGGTCTGTAAATAATGGAATCTGGACCAGACAATCCAGTGATTGACATGATGTTTGTTTGTTGTTTAACGCCGCAATCAGCAATATTCCAGCTATATGACGGCGGTGTGTAAATAATCGAATCTTGACCATACAATCCAGTGATCATTGATCATGGACATCGATCTCCTTAATCGTGTCTTTGCTTGCTGTTTGACGCTGCGCTCAGCAATATTCCACCTATACGATGGCAGTGTAAATAAGCGAGTCTTGACAAGACAACCCAGTGATTAATATCATGAGCATCGATCTCCCAATTGGGATTAATGGAGACGGTGTGCATGGCAGGGATAGTCAGATTAATAGGGACAAGGATTCACGCGTATCGATACTGTTATATGGTTAGATTTAGTTTGTTCTCCACGCGCATATTCAAACTACTCCCGCTCAGTGAGATTCCGGGGTATGACAGGAGTGATTGGAATAAACACTCAAGACTTCTACTTGGGTGTGTGAAAAATGAATTATACTCCACCAGGAAAACGTACGTGTACTGCTGACACGCCAGATCACATATCAACACAATGTAGAATTTAGGTGTCACTCGTGTTCTTCCTCAATTAGATATATTGAAATTAAATCATGAAAACACGTATCAAGGAAGTCAGAGAGGTTTGACTGACACACTATTTATAGCACCTGTGAAGATCCGGGTTAAAATCGATCTTCAGCAACCCATGCTTGTCGTCTAACGGGGTCGGTTTGTCAGTCTCCCTGACTTGGTTGATGCGTGTCATCGTATCCCAATTATGTAGACTGATGCTCATGATGTCGTGATTCCGCCGTGATGTTGCTTGAATCATGCCGAGTGCGGCGTTCAACAACAAACAAAATGATGTGAATCACTGGTCTGGTCCAGACTCGATTGAGTGCGGCGTTACACAACAAACAAAAACAAGTCATATGTTCAGGTCCATGTGTTCGGTCAGTCTAGGACAGCTTCACATATGTGCAGCATGTGTAAATCAAAAAGAGGTATGAACGTACACATGTGTTGCCATTGTATCTAATCTAACAGATGTACATGCAGTATGTACAGGGTCATGACAGATGTACAAGCTCGCCGTAAGGGAAATAGTGTTATGACAGATGCACAAGCAGGTTGTAATGGAAATAGTGTTATAGGAGATGTACAAGCACGTCGTAAAATAAATATTGTTATTACAGACGTACAGGGAAATAGTGTTTTGGCAGACATACAGGCACGTCGTAAGGGAAATAGTGTTATGACATATGTACAAGCACCTCATAAGGGAAATAGTGTTATGACAGATGTACAAGCAGGTTGTAAGGGAAATAGTGTTATGACAGATATACAAGCACATCGTAAGGGAAATACTGTTATAACAGATGTACAGGCAGGTCGTAAGGGCAATTTTATTATGACATGTGTATAGGCACGTCGTAGGGACAGATGTACAGGCACGATATAAGGGAAATAGTGTTATAACAGATGTACAGACGCGTCATAAGGGAAATAGTGTTATAACAGATGTACAAGCACATCGTAAGGGAAATAGCGTTATGACAGGTGTACAAGCACATCATAAGGGAAATATTGTTATAAAAGATGTACAAGAACATCGTAAGGGAAATAGTGTTATAGGAGATGTACAAGCACGTCGTAAAATAAATATTGTTATTACAGACGTACAGGGAAATAGTGTTTTGGCAGACATACAGGCACGTCGTAAGGGAAATAGTGTTATGACATATGTACAAGCACCTCATAAGGGAAATAGTGTTATGACAGATGTACAAGCAGGTTGTAAGGGAAATAGTGTTATGACAGATATACAAGCACATCGTAAGGGAAATACTGTTATAACAGATGTACAGGCAGGTCGTAAGGGCAATTTTATTATGACAGGTGTATAGGCACGTCGTAGGGACAGATGTACAGGCACGATATAAGGGAAATAGTGTTATAACAGATGTACAGACGCGTCATAAGGGAAATAGAGTTATAACAGATGTACAAGCACGTCGTAAGGGAAATAGCGTTATGACAGGTGTACAAGCACATCATAAGGGAAATATTGTTATAAAAGATGTACAAGAACATCGTAAGGGAAATATCGTTATAACAGATGTACAGGCACGGCGTAAGGGAAATAGTGTTATGACAGGTGTACAAGCACATCATAAGGGAAATTTTGTTATAACAGATGTACAAGAACATCGTAAGGGAAATATTGTTATAACAGATGTACAGGCACGTCATAAGGGAAATAGTGTTATGACAGGTTAACGAGCACGTCGTCAGGGAATTATTGTTATAACAGATGTACAAGCACGTCATAAGGGAAATAGTGTTATGACAGATGTACAAGCAGGTTGTAAGGGAAATAGTGTTATGACAGATATACAAGCACATCGTAAGGGAAAAATTGTTATAACAGATGTACAGGCAGGTCGTAAGGGAAATTTTGTTATGACAGGTGTATAGGCACGTCGTAAGGGAAATATTGTTATGGCAGATATACAAGCACATCATAATGGAAATAGTGTCATGACAGATGATCAAGCACGTCGTAAGGGAAATAGTGTTATGACAGGTGAACGAGCACGTCGTAAGGGAAGTAGTGTTATGACAGATGTACAAGCATGTCGTAAAGGAAATATTGTTATAACAGATATACAAGACATCGTAAGGGAAATAGTGTTATAACAGATGTACAGGCATGTCGTAAGGGAAATAGTGTAATGACAGGTGTACAAGCACGCCGTAAGGGAAATAGTGTTATGACAGGTGTAAATGCACGCCGTAAGGGAAATATTGTTATGGCAGATATACAAGCACATCGTAAGGGAAATAGTGTTATAACAGATGTACAGGCAGGTCGTAAGGGAAATAGTGTTATGACAGATGTACAAGCACGTCGTAAGGGAAATAGTGTAATGACAGGTGTACAAGCACGCCGTAAGGGAAATAGTGTTATGACAGGTGTACATGCACGCCGTAAGGGAAATATTGTTATGGCAGATATACAAGCACATCGTAAGGAAAATAGTGTCATGACAGATGTTCAAGCACGTCGTAAGGGAAATAGTGTTATGACAGATGTACAAGCATGTCGTAAGGGAAATAGTGTTATGACAGATGTACAAGCACGTCGTAAGGGAAATAGTGTTATGACAGATGTACAAGCACACCGTAAGGGAAATATTGTTATGGCAGATATACAAGCACATCGTAAGGGAAATAGTGTTATGACAGATGTTCAAGCACATCGTAAGCGAAATGGCGTTAATATATATCTGTGTGTTTTTGTCATTGTTATTGTTACGTGTAGTGGGACACTGCGGATATGTTTGCCTGCACTTCAGCCATGGTATTAGTCAGCATTGTAAGCCCTGTGAGGCTGTGACACAGGGATACATTTAGGTAGGAGGAAGAACTGTATATCACACAATGTTGATAGCCCACACCGTATTTCCTCTATCACGCGTCTAGCGTTTTATAAACGTATGTGTTATGGGTGAAACGGGATCAATCCCGCTGATTTGGTTGATGCGAGTCAGCTTAATGTAGGAGGAAAGCCCGAAGTGATGCAGGTCTCTAACGTTTACCACTTCGGTGAAACCCACTAGCACGGCCATGGTGCTGACAAACCTAGAAACATAATCGGGGCGAACCGGGATTCGAACCCACAATCATAGGTTTCTTGCGTGCCCAAGGGACGCAACTCTATACTGTTTAAACATGGATCCAAATGCAGATCTCGTCATCCCGTCTGTGGTAGGGCATAGATGATTTTCTGGACGCTTCACGTTTTCATTGCTTTGGGGACACATACCACTGATATTACGTATCTCCTCTTTCAAATCAGATCCGTGAAGATACAGGGGTACATTGGACACAACTTTGCGTAGCAATTGCAGCGCCTTAGGCGATTGGGCCAACCGTTGCCCCGTACACAACTGGAATAA